ACTTCATAGGTGCATAGATCTCACTCAGGAGGTGTGCAATGCACAAGAATGATAACTCTACCTTTTATAATTTTTGAGTTATTGCCCTTTGTTATTTTTCATACTTAATTTTTCAATTCATTTTTTTTCTCAAAAAGTATTTGAGGTATCAACTTGAAACTTCATAGGTGGATAGATTTTACTGAGGAGGGATGCAGCACACAAGAATGATAACCTACCCTGCATTATTTTTCAGTTATTGCCCTTTGTTATTTTCATTCATCAGTATTCACATAGGTTTCAAATCTGTAATCACTATAGCCATCAGTTTTCATTACCAAAAGACCTCTTAAAATAGAATTATTCTGTTCTACTACATATACATTCTTCCAATGAGCAAACACATTCGGCAGGGGATGGCCATGTTGACATGGCTCTTGTTGTTTTATCATCATACAGTACAGTCAATAAAATTCTATTACATAAATTAATAAAAACGATATTACACCATTGTAATAACACTTTGACTTGATGTCATTTGCGTTATACTTGTATATAAACATGGTGTTAAAGTGTGCTAGTGTTGGCGTTACACTTTAGGCGCTTCATTGAAAAAATACTCTTTTTAACAGTTTATCATACTTCTTGTATATATGTGATAAACTGATTTTCAACAACTGGTACATAAAATTTCTGAAAAAATTTGAAATGAATGTTATAATATGAATGTTTTGATATGGTCTATTATTTTATTTTACCAGATTAGGAAAAAAACACCATATACTCTTTGATATAAACCCCTAGGGGTGGTGTTGTTCTTTTTCTGAAAGCTGGCATTGATTAAAGTGAAAAAGAAATCAATATGAATCTTATTGTTTTTGGGTTATTTTATGCTAAATTGCTCTGGGGGAGGGGGGCTATGCACCCTCGTACAAATCAGTTAGCCTCATGTTTCAATGCCCTTTCTATTAATATTTTGTTATTGCCTTTGAAACTCTGCTTCTATTTCTTTGACAAAGAAGGGGTGGGGCATTAAGTAGGGAGGGGTGTTTATATGGGAATATATGGTAAGCCTGAGGCAATAATGGTGTAGGCTGCTTGTTTAATCATGTTACAATAACAACAATTAGGGATTGTCTAACATTACTGTCAATTGCACTGTTTGTACATAATATTACAGATTTTATTTTTGTAGATTACTTCTTGTTTTTCTAATACAACTGTGATAATTGTTACAATTATTCAGGCCAGTCTTGAACAATATTGTTTTCTGTATACGCAAATATTGATAAATGTATTTTGATTGGCTCTTTCAAGGTAAACAGCCTACAAATATTATTGAGAAGTTGTTTTGTTGTTTCAACGAATAAAGTTGAATGGTTAATCAAACAGTGTTAATGATAAGTTATAGTTGAATGGTTAATCAAACAGTGTTAATGATAAGTTACAGTTGAATGGTTAATCAAATGTAGTGTTAATGATAAGTTTTAGGTTTTAGGAATTTTATTTCAAGTTGTGTTTGAGCAAAGGTTAAAATAATTGATTGTAACTTTTTACTTACTCTTCAAAAATGCACTAGTTAATGATTTTAAATATTTTGCGCATAATGTTGTTTTTAGCTCACCTGAGCACAAAGTGCTGAATGGTGAGTTTTTGTGATCTTACGGTGTCTATTGTCCATTTTGTGTTGTTATTCACTAAACTTCTCCTAAACAATGTGGTAGATATTTACCAAATTCTCAAGAATTATTCTTGGTTGGCCCTCCATAAAAGTTAGGAGCTATGAAATATATAAAAATCTTCTCCACAGTAAGTACAGTACCTTAAGCTAAGATATTTGGCATGTAACATCGTCTTGTGGTACCCTTCAAAACTTACATCAATTATTTCACTGGGTACAAATTTGGCATTGAACTGCAATGCCCAGAGCTTTTATATTTGGCATGTTGCATTGCATATTGGCCTGTCCCTGTTGCCAGTCTTTACATAGACTTATATAGGTAAAATAAGGAAAAGCATTAAAGTTTCTTGTGTGAAACTACAGTGCCTAGAGCTTAGTAATTTGGTATATAGTATTGCCGAAAAAGCCTCTACAAAAGAAGTATAAATCATGGTCCTTGCTTCTGGGGTAAAAAAATCGCCTTACAAGTCCAATTGTGACCAACTTATCAACTTCAGCATAGAAAATTTATGACCATATCACTGGCTGTAAACCCAGATCAGTGAAGATCTCCATAATTGCTAGGAATAGAGCTTAGATCTTTGGCTTTTATTATGGACCACTTCCATGCTTTTTTCAAATCTTGACCCTGGGCTGAAATTTGACTGTGCCCCATGGGTTCACTTGATTTGACATAGATTCATATGGGAAAAAACCTTTGCCTTTCAAACCACAAGGTTAAGAGCTAAGATATTTAGAGTGTGGCATTGTCTAGGTTATTTCTATTTAGTTTGATAAGAGAATTCAGGTGAGCGATCTATGGCCGTCATGGCTCTCTTGTTTTATTAGTCTACATATAAAACAATGATGTTAAGCTTGGTTTTAGTTACCATAAGTGTTCTTTTATTTATTTTAATTTATTTTGTTTCAGATCTAACATATTTGAAATGAACTTAAACTAACTTACTACTTATGTCTAACACTGATATCAGATTTATACAATTTTAAAATGTGTTGTATATTTTTGGGGATTTTTTAACAATGGGTATTTATACATGTAAATTGATTTATCAATGGAATAAAGAATGAAAAATAAAATTTTGATATGTTTGAAAATGTATTGTGTAATTATTTAGTTATATCCAAATGAAGTTTACATTGTATTCCTCATACCTCCCTTTGTCATGTATATGTTATTGTCACCCGCCTTTTTTGAAGAAAAAGGGGGGATATAGAAATTGGCTCCGTCCGTCCGCTCTCACGGGAGAGTAATAATGTGGCTCAGAGGGAAAATAGGTAACTGTTCATTCTCTTTGATGTTATTCACTCTGTATTGCTTTTATGTGGCTAAAATGAACAATAGAGTAGCCACATTATTACTGTCCCGTTAGCACGTCGGTCCGACTGTCACAATTTCATGTTTGGTCCATAACTTTGTCATTTATCAAAGGAATTTGAAATTACTTGGCACAAATGTTTGTTATAATAAGATGATGTGTCACACGCAACAACCAGACCCCTACCTCCAGAGTCAAGGTCCCACTTGCTCATTCAAGGTCAACATTGTCTAATTATATGTAGTGTCCGGTCCATAACTTTCTTATCTTTCAAAGGATTTTGTAAATACTTGCCACAATTGTTCACAATAATGAGACGATGTGTCATGCGCAAAAATCGGTCACCTACCTCCAAGGTCAAGGTCACACTTGGAGGTCAAAGATTATCATAGTCTGTTATAGGGTATATTTTGTGTCGGTCCATAACTTTGATAGATCAAAGGATTTTGAAAATACTTAGCACAAATAATCTTTATAATAAGACAATATGTCATGCGCAACACCTGCATCCCTACCTCCAAGGTCAAGGTCACACTTAGAGGTAAAAAATTAACAGAGTCTGTTATATGGTATATTTTGTGTCCCGTCCATAACTTTTTCGTAGATCAAGGGATTCTGAAAAAACTTGGCACAAATAGTAACAATAATAAGATGATATGTCATTCTCAACGCCTGCACTCCTACCTCGACGGTCAAGGTCACACTTAACATGATAGATTTTTAAATTCCGTGTTTCATTTTATTTCTTTAATAAATTAATTGTTGCATTTGCAGATCTAGTATTGATCATAATTGTGGACTTTAAGTCCTGAGATCCATACCAAAATCTTTTGAAATAGCACAATTTTATGCTTCATATAAAACTTCCTTGAGGCGGGGACGTTGGTAACTTGGTTCTGGTAATAAAAGATTTCTGAAAATAACACAAAATTGTGAAAAAAGTAACCTCGCATAGTTCGAATCTATGGACGAAACCCAGAAATTGAATTGATAGAAATTTGTAAGCATATACACGGTAATTTTACCATTATTTCAAGTACTTCCATGAACGTGGTATGCACTTACTTAAATCAAGCACAAACTTCATAATACAATCAAGCACAAGGTATCCCACATACAACCCTTGTTGCTTGTTATGCAATTATCAAATATACCATTTAGGTGTCACCTTTTCTGGCCCGTCTGGTCATATGGTCTAGTGCACTAGAAGTGCACACGGTGTGCTATTCTAGTTCAGCTCTAGTGCTCTACAAGTGCACAAGGGTGGGAAGTTTAGTGTGACCCTGAAACTGATCTACATATAAATCAAGCACAGTGTATACCACATACTCTTAATATAACTTAAGGTATACCGCATACTCCCTAAGACTGACCTATATATAAACCGGGCACAATGTATGCACATACATACGAGTAGGGGTTTGACTTTAATAGAAGATGGATGGATGGATGGGTGGGTGGATGGGGTGGGATGGATTGGATGGATGGATAAAAAACTGACCTAAATATAAATCAGGCACAAGGTATCCCACATACTCCTTAAATCTGAACTAAATCTTAGTCAAATCAAATTCTGGCTGACTATTATTGTTTAACCAATTTTGATTGTCAATGAGGAGGACTAAAAAGGTGCGCAAAATATTGCGGTAATGATTAATTTAATTAAGTTATATTTCCATAAATTGTATGTATAGTATAAAGTAAGGACATTGACTAAAATGCAACTTGTAGTACGTATTTTACATGTTTATTCTAAAAGAAATCATCAACCATTAATTTCAACTTGCTCATTAAGATAACTACACTAATATGTTAAAACCGCACACACCTGACAGGAAACCTATACAGCTACAAATATATCACGTGTTATTGACAAATCAAACGCAACAAAATTGCATATACATAATTACTATGTCAATAATAATGTCACAGGCTTATAATTATGTACTGGATATACATCACTTCAGAAATGTCTGAATTGCACTGCCGTTTGAACTTCATGGTCTGATAGTCCCAATAAACAACTGACTACCTGAATACACAGGTAAAATGTATTGAAACTGCTTTAACTACACACGTATCGGATTTTCTTTTTGCCGCATGAATATTTAAGTGTGCTACGTAAAACGCTATTATCTATTGTCAATCAGGAACAGAAATGTCCGGTTTATAGACATGGATATATTCTGTAGGAATTAAAACAGCGTTACTTGAAGAAGGTCGTGAAGACTTTCCTGATATTGGAGAGATCGCTGAAAATAGTGCAGCGGTTGCTGGGACGTAATGTCTTTTGACAGGTAAGACAATCTACCGAGCTTGCGCGTTGGTAAATTTTAAATTTGGATGCATTGGTAAAAAGGATGAATCATTATACACAAGCTTAAACATATAATCAGTGATAATAGAGTAACCAAATATTTACGGGTATTTCTCCAATTAGCATAAACAGAGGATCGGGTAAGCAAGTGTGGTATGCTACTGAACAATTTATTGCCTGATAACAGTGCATTTATAATTCTATATAATGGTTATGATCGTGCAATAAATCCTCTTATACGAATGTTTATCTGTATACATGTATTACACAGATCGAATATTTAACACGGATTTGGTGTATATATATGACATTTCTCTGATTCCGCAACATTACATAGGTATCTGGAATGATTAATTTACTTAATAAAGGCTTAATAAAAATGCTGATATTTATGGGTAAGCATTCTATATATTTGTGGTTTTATTGCTCGGGTATAAAATGAGGTAATTATATCGGCGAGTACAATAACGAACACTATTGGACGAGTTGACAGCTGAAAACCTTTAATTATAACCTGGTAACCTATAATAAAGGTTTTCCAGCTGAGCACGAGTCTAATAGACTCAGCTTTGTACTATATCGACCTCTTTATGTCGCACCACCAATATTGTTAAAGAGGAAATTTTATCTACATACTTTGTATACAACGCGGATTTGAATTGGATTTTTTACTCGGAACATGAATTCAAGGGTAGATTGAGTGATTTGATATAGTGTTTGATATGGAATATACATTTGTACATGTATATGAAATGTGTTGAACAATTAAAAAGTGCATGGATTAATCGACAGAATATATTTGAAAATCAGATCGACTTAACACCAATTAAATAACAGCCGAGGAACTGTTGTCTATATTTGCGTGTATTGCACTTTATTTGAAAGAAATCTATTCACTATTAAAAAGAAACTAGTACTTGAAGCTATTTCATAAATTTTCTGTCTTGCACTTTAAAATTTGTCCCAAACTCATGTTGGCTCCTCACCGTGGGTAATACATATCAACAAGTCGTCGATTTCCATATTTTACCCAAAATTTCTTTGTTACATATGTATACATTCATTTTTTTAGGCTAAACATTTTTCTCAGACAATTACTATCATTTGATGGAATATTATAAAAATAACAACTTGGTACAGGTTGTACGCTTGATGAGGGAATGACCAAAGAAATCCACATTTTTATATTTTTAATCTTTTGGGTTCCACATGTTGCCTATATGAGAGATATACCGAAAGAGTTAAGAACATTTATACATTATAGAAACGTGGAAAGGAGTCTGAAAAAAATCCGCCCTTTATGGGAATCGAACTCACTTCGTCCGATAATATAAATGGTTGACCACGCTGCCAAAAAAGTGCTAGATTTGATAAGGTTTCTTTAAACTGACGCAAACATTTATGCCACCACTGAAGGGGAGACATATACATGTTTTTGACTTAAATTTGTCCGTCCACCCTCCCCGTCGTCATGTTGTCATGCTGCCGTACTGTGCATTCTAGATAACCATGCATACTAAATGAAATTAGTAAAATGATTTCAATTTTGTTTCAGATAATGTTAAATCCATCCATTCTCGTAAAAATCGAAATCCACAATGAAAGCACCGGTGGAGTTGCACCGTCCAACCATCTTAAATATCATCGCCATTGTTAGCTATTGCCTAGCAACATTATTCCATATAATCGCTTACGCCACAGACAACTGGGCCTCACTACTGCTAGACGGGGTGCGCTGGAGGATGGGTTTGTGGCAGGGGTGTAAGGAATTGGAAGATGGGTCGGAATATTGTACAACAGATGTTTTTGAAGATAAGGCATTTCAATCGGGTATGAGTAAGTTTTACACGCTTTCTAGCTAGCACACATTTCTGCTGTTTAGTCTGGAGTTAACCGGAACGAAGAAAAAACGTATGGTGTGACATAGAACTGCAAGTAAGACACTTAGACCCTTTGACTTCTCGACCCATAAAGATACTAAAATGACTACTAGACCACTGGATTCTTAGACCCCTTTTACATGACTGGGTGAATCATTTCGACCCCTTAACCAATTTGTATACGTTAGAAGGCCAATAACTTTGAATAAGATACTTTGAGAAATAATTTAAAGCAAGTAGTAAATATTTTCATTACGAGATCCGACAAAATAGAAAAATTAATATTGTTTTCAATTCATTCAATGTCTGGTCACATAACATGTGCTTTGTTTAAGCTGGGACATAATATATTTTAAATTAGGTCCCAGACAAAAAGTGAAGGAATAATAAAAATGATCATTAAAAAAAACAATAATGCGCGATTTGTGCATTGGGTGTTTATTCATATTAACAACATTTATAAATTCGTAAAGATTTACATTATTTTCCGTGTGAAACACATATTATAATGACGATGAATATTTACACATTTATACTTAATTATGTTATAATTATATTGCATTGACTTGTCTTTAGATCATAGTTGCGATTATCTCATTTTTTATGAAAAAGAAACAAAAATACCAATCGATCAATAATTGATTGTAATTTGAAAAAAAATTACAACTATACAATCATGTATATTATGATAAATATGTAGAATTGTAGTTGATATAAACTAAAGAATGATATAATCTCATCTATACATTGTGATCAAATCTTAAAATTATCTAATATCTTACAATCAATCTCTTTATCTAAATCTTGGTAATATGTATGCCAAATAAACATCCGTCGCGTGTCGTTAATGATTAAATCATCGGTAATAAATATCCTGCAAAATAAACAGTTTCAATTTTAACGGGGGTGTGGTTAGTGATTTTGGAAAGGAATTGTTATACGTTACATAACTAGTAGTGCATTTCGTTTGGTCATTTTATTATTTTCCCCAATATTTATATTATTTAAGTTCACATGAATAATATGTATCCGTCTCATTAATTAAAACAAAACCATAAAAAAATCCTATACTGGCGGTCATATTTACCTTCCAAATAATATGTGCAACTCTTAGAATATGTTTTTGTTTGTTTAAAACACATAACAATAACATATAACTCTATATATTGCATTATTTTGCAAAATATTGGAAATATACCTAAGGGTATCTCTAAAATACCGGATTTTGGCGGACATCTTGGTGGCCATTTTGAATTTTGGCTGCCATTTTGATTTTTAAGTTAGGGTCCCGATCCAAAACAGCTAGATGGACATCAAACAAGGATAATCCAAAGTGGTTTGCTTGAGAATTATGAAAACGATTATATGTACTTTGACTCGAACTATATATAACGTCTGTATGTATATTATAGAATATGGGGTCGAAATGTCCAGTCAATTAAAGTGGTCTAAATGTCTTAGGAGTCTAACTGTCATGGGTCGAGGTGTCTTTAGAGGCCGAGGTGTCAAGGGATCGAGATGTCATAGATACTAGAACTAACTTCTTTTATCATTTTGTTTATTTTGCTAACAGTCATAGTGTGTGTCATCGGAACCTAGTGATAGAAGTCTAATACCGACTATTATTATCAGTTTCCCATCATTCCTAATTTTAACTATCCGACTGAGGGAGAGTGTAACAAAGACTATACTGCATGGGGTGTGTAGTATGGACTAACTGATAAAATTACAGCACGGACTAATTGGGGTAAGTTGAGCATGGGATAACTAGTGAAAGTGCAGCATGCACTGGGGGCAATTTTATCTCGGCCTTACTAGGGGCAAGTGTTACACTGCCTTATTAGGGGAAATTTCAGCACTGACTTATTCGTAGACAGCGTAGCACGGACCTACTGGAGATAAGTTTGGTACGCACTAGCTGGGGAAAATGTAGCACGGATCGAAATGATGGAAAGTGTAGCGCAAGGTTACTGTGGGGAGTGGGGGAGGTATAGCGCTTCCTTACTCGGGGCAGTATAGCACGGCCCTACTGGGCTGGGGGAAGTGTTACATCGACTAAATTTGGGAAAGTGTTGCAATGGAATAACTGGGGAAGAAGTGTAACATTGACTTTCTTCGGAAAGACTGGCACGTATAAACTTGGGGATAGTATAGCATGTATTTACTTGGAAAAGTATAATATAGTATTGACATATTTATTTATTGGTGAAAGTGTAGCATGGACTAAATTGGGGCGGTATAGCAAGGACTTACTTACTTGAGTGTAACTTGTGACACTATGGGAAAGTGTAGTACTGAATTACTGGAGGGGGGGGGGGGACATAGCGCGGCCATACAGTGAAGCACGGACTAACTGATAGAAAGTGTAGCACGAGCATAATAGGAGACCGACTAGCATGGACTTACTGGGAGACGGTATAACACGTACTTAGTGGGACCGGTATAGCACGGGTTTACTGAGGGTGGGAGTGTAGCATCGACTGGGAAAAACTAGGGGAAGTGTAGTATTGACTTACTGGGGAAAGAGTGGCATGGACGTAGTGGGGAAAAGTGGAGCACGTCCTTACTGGCTGAAAGTGTAACATAGAGTTACTGGGGGAAAGTGTAACACAGACATTCTGGGCGGGGGTTGTATATCGCGGATGTTGGACGGACTTATTGAGGAGAAGTGTTGCATTAATATTGCATGGTTTATTAATATTCTTTGAATTACTTTCCTTGGCGAGACTTAGTTTCTATTTCATAGTGTTTGTGTTTTATTTTATTTTTAGTATTTTCATATTATCATTTCTTCACAAAGAATTTAATACCACCTATTCAGTTAAGCATATGACAAAATATCCTATGACATGTTCACGTATACTACAGAATTACATTTACATTTTTACCCTATTATAATGTAATAATAGATAATATTCATGTAAATAAGATTAAACAAAAATACAACTTCAGGGGAGCGGTTGCCTGGTGGTTTAAGTGCCAGTCTCTCACCATTGTGATAGTTGGTTTAAGAATAAGATCCACTTGGGTCAGGACCATGTTTATTATATGTAATGGTTAATTCTACGATGAGAACGTAAAGAGTAGTTCAAATAATTTATAAGCTTTCGAGCACATCTTAAGGCCTCAGAAGTGAAAGTTTGTTCTTTGTGTAGAAAAAGCAAAAAAAAAAAAAAAAAAAATTTTGTAAAGTTGTAATACTGGATTAAGATCAGGGTAAATGGTTTTCACCAGTAAAAAATAACGCTAAACAAATATAATAAAAATGATTTGTGATAAAGGAAAAAAAATGTAAAAAGAGAAGTGTTATGTTTAATTCCATATAAAAGACCAAATCACTAAAACTGTACTAATTTTCTATACTAGTACGTTAAAGGCCCCTTGTGGTGGACTGGTTGCCTGAACGTGTTGAGGTATTAGATGTGCAGCCATCATTTTACTCCTCGCGATCGTAGGAAGCGACTGAATGGGTTCGATTACTGGAATCTATACATCTCTTAGCTTCAGCAGTTGAGGTGCTTTTGACCCGTGGTGTTGCTTTAAGTTGTAACACCCGAGATTAGCCAAAATCATCTTTCCCGTTTCGGAGTCATATGACTTAAACTGTGTTGGTGATGCCGTTAAACCAAACAAAACACAAATAATAAAGTACTTTACAAACATGTATACGTAGTGTTTAAACTAATACAACTGACATCCTTTCGATATCACATTTGTAATTTTCCTTTCTTCTTTTTTTTTCGCAGGCAGTGATTGGCACCTAGGGGCACGTGTTATGATGACGTTAGCACTAATTATCCTGTTTGTCCTAGAGTTTACTCTCATTGGCTACGCCTGCATCAAAAACCTAGAAAAATACAAGAGCCAGCTAGTAGGGTCAACTATTGCTCTATCGTTATCTGCAGGTAATTATTTAAAGTATTCTTTTAATACTTTACTTGAAGGTGCTCCACGGAAGTCCAAAAACCTGAAAACATAAATTTTGAAAAGCCTGAAAACACAAAACTTGAAAATCTTAGGTAGAACAAATTGTATAGCACGCCTACTAAACAGTGGCTCTTTCACATTTTGGTGATCTGTTTAAATGAGAGCCATCGAAACTTCCGTTATAGAGCCATCAACCAAAGCAAAGCAGGAAAAGGTAAACACAGTTTATAAAAATATCCGATTTTTAAAGTATGCTTCTTTTTCAAAAATCGAAGAATAATGCTATGCCACGTAGAACATTTTTCTCATCAGTTTGGATGCAGTTTCGATACGAAATACTCTAAAATGACGTTGCTAGTACTTTTACCAAATATTAACTTGTGTGTTTTCTTTTGCGAGGAGACACACATTGAGTGATTTCTCTACCATAAAGTTAATGTTGACCCACATTATCTTACATGTAACATTGTACCTACCTCACCTTTGGCTCAAGACAAAAAATATTTCAAAGGTTTTGGTTAAAAATAAAATATTTACATTTATTCAAATGTGATTGAGCCATCGACAAGGTGTTCTCGCGCCATCGGTAATGTGGAAGAGCCCTAGCAAATGTGATAGAGCCAAAACAAACATTCAATTAGTGTCGATAATGTAGAATATTGGCGATTCATATTTATAAATAGACAAGATTGCATGAGTTGATAAAGACTTGTAAAGTCATGACTTATATTACAGATCCTTGTAATTAAGATATGTGCCTCAATGAAAAGGCAAAACAAATTAAAATGATCAGATAAAGAATCTTAAGTTTTAAGGGAAGAAAACTATTCAGTCCAATAATTTCCCTAAGGTAAAAATTTCCTCAAACAGTTTCCTTAAATATCACCTAAGGTGATTTCTTAGGCAAGAAAAATCGCAAGAAAAAAAATCATTTGCTGAATCTTACTATGTGCTATAATGTATTTTATATTTCACCAATTTGAAGGTATTCTCTTTGTTAATGTTGTGCAAACTTTAAAAAGGATAAGCCTTTCTGGCTAAAATGTCATAACAATTCGTCTGTGAAAAACGTGAAAATATGCTGTGCATGTGGGCCACTAGCTGTGTCTGTCAGGTGTCTAACCCTATCAGTTCAAGTCAAGCCCGTCTGAAAGATTTGGCAGCAACACCTTATTTCTCCATGATGCATATAATGGTCTCAATGACCTCCCATGAATCAAAATACTATCATCATAAAAATTGACGTGCATATATATTATCATTCAGTAAATTACTGAATTCAAAATGTATCGGTCACCTTTTGGTTGATAACATTTAAGCACATGAATGGTGATATGTCCGGGTCCGTACTCTCAGTGCCTGAATGGGCGGATGGACCCTCATTAAGCCTAGAATACATACATACATCGAAAACTTTTCTCATTCGATTAAAAGATTCTCTAGTCTGTCTATGAATATAAATTGGAATAATTCCATAATATCGGCAATTATTGAATGTTCCATGCACGATAAATTGGGCAGACATTTACTTTACGGTCAATAAATCACTCAAGATGTGTCTCAACGTATTAGAAAACACACAAATTAATAATTGGTAAAAGTTCTAGCAACGTCATTTTGTCGTATTTTTTATCGAAACTGCATCCAAACTGATGAGAAAAATGTTCTACGTGGCATAGAATTCTTCGATTTTTTAAAAAGAAGCATACTTTAAAAATCGGATATTTTTTATAAACTTTATTTACCTTTTTGGCTTGCAGCCGTCACCAAAATGTGAAAGAGCCACTGTTTAGTAAGCGTGATACTAAAACACGAAAAATATGCAAAATATATGAAGAAATATATATAATAGAATTAAATTGAAAATCAAATCGGTATTTCAATAAAAATGGTTATTCTGGAAAACGGAGTGAGCGATTGTTCTGAATTTTTACACGCAAGTTTTTGGTATAGACTTTCATCATATTGTATAAAAATTCCTGAAAAAAATCTTTCCAGTTCCGTCGTGTAAAAAAACCAGTACGTGGAGCCCCTTACATTAAGATTATGAAGATACTTTTCTTATTTTTTATTTTTTTTTATTTTAAAATGAGGCTTGCTGACCTAGAAATGCTGCTTATTCTTCTGCGAATTCGGTCTCATTAAATGTATGGCCTTTCCTCGAGCACCACAATAAAGATAAACACACTATGTGAAAGGAGAGTTCAAAGTATTTATAATTATTCTCTGAATAACAATGGAAGTGGTGAAGGAGTGTGCAAATTATATTTTTCTTTCCTGACACCTTTTTGTTTACGCCCGTTTTAAAATAAACTGGGCATATATTGGGACCGCACCTGGCTGGTTGACGGGGAGGCGTCAAGTTTTGTCCACATACATTCTTCTTATAAATCTTTGTAACTAGGTGATTTAGGGTATATCATATGAAAAAACAAACGTTTCCCGCTATATCATTAATATTACTTAGTACAAATGATAACCATTGTTAGCCGGCGAGTCACGTTCAAAATTTAGGTCCCTGCGGTCAAGGTCAAGGCCACATGCAAAGATCAGAGGTCAGATAAAGAATTGAAAATGTGAGTATTGATCATTGGATCATTATGAATTGTGGGATTGTAATATAAATGTTCACGATTTGGGACTTAGCATTAATTTTGTGACAACTGACAACGTGTTGAATTTTCACCAACGTTTGTAGTTTAGGACTATATAACTTTTGTATATGCTGAAAAATTTGGTGTAGTTTTAGATACCTCTGTGTTCATTAACCCCCCCCCCCCCGCCAAACGGAAGGGTGATATGAAATATGGCGTTGTCCGACCCAGGTTTCGGTTTTATTTTTTTTTAAATATTTTGCAAGAATATATATAAGGCTGCTATATAAGAGGGACAAGATAAATAGAGTTATATTGAAACTAGATTGATACATAAAACATCTAGATTATTTGCATTGCACTCGAATTGGAAACGACTTATACTTTGCAGACTTGCTATTTAATTTTAATATCCGAAATGCTTTGTAATAGTTTATATGGATATAAAACAGACCATTTTTGAGTTACTTTAACCATAAATGACAAGGGAACGACTAAAGGTCCTGGTTATTTGAAAGATCCTGATCTTTTTTGGCCATAGGTATACTGCGCAAGATTATTAGTACCCAGTTTTATACCTTGAAATAGGACCTGCCTATTGTTGATCAGTTTTCAACGGGGTCGATTTTTTATGTGTTAGTGATAACGAAAATCGGCAGTGTTTTCAATTTTGAAAACAACCTATAAACCGTCCATTTTAACCTTTGAATTGGTGGATTACCATTTAAAGCATACTTTTAGTTCAGAGTATTGGTAAAAACAGTTTTACCAAAAACTCAGATATCGTTCACCCAGAAGTTAACAAACTAATTGACTTTCCATTACACCGCAATAAAAAGTAGTTCTTTTCTTCGATTGATGAAAAATGGTGTTTTTGCATGCTTAATTTTTGCAAATCTATAACCGGCGATTGTAGTTGACTGGTGCCTGATGCAACTTGTTAAATCGGACAGACTTAAAGATATCTCTCCAGTGAATACTCCAGTGCCTCAGCACCTTAAATTTGCTTTATAATGGTTACATATATTATATACCATAGTTTTTATGTTATGCTATAAGTTATAATTACATATATGAGGATTGTCAATTTTACATCATTTAGTTACATTTATGTAATTTTAGTAGCATAATTTTATAAGCACTTGCAGTAACATTTGTTACCCGACACAAACATGCATGTTGCATAGTTTATGTATTCTGCTGCAGATCTATGTGTTTGCTACTTATGTATGCTACATATTCTATGTATGCTACATATTGCTATATATAATTTTTTATATTCTATATGAATTACATAGTGTATATAATGCTTCTTCACAACGTATATAAATAAATAGGCTCTTCTGAAAATATTAAGTTCGCATGACTTTAAAGACGCAGTTCTCATAAATCACCACTCATTGCTTCGCACAAATCAACATGTTGAAATATTTATTATTTTTTTCCAGTCGGATGCTCCACAGAAAAACTACTTCTAAGTAGTAAAATATGTGTTTAAAATTATTAATCCGGCTTTTAATCAGGTGCATGTTTTACCCTTGTTTGATTTTCATAATCTTCAAAATAAAAATCTTTATAAAAGTTAAAAATATTGCTGTCAGTGGTGATCTTGAGAATCTGTTGTCTCGTTGTAGGTGCTTTCGTTCTATCTACACTAATTTTGTGCGGCATCGAGGCTCTGGAATTTCAAGGAGGAAGACTCGAATGGTCTTATGGGATAGCTCTCCTAACTCTTGTCTTTAACATAATTTGCACAGGCGTTATTGCATTTGACAGATATAGGGCACGGTTGTTAGGAAAGTCTATGAGAAAATCTAAACAGATTATAAGTGATGATATTGAAGATAATAATCAGTTTGCATACACGAACACTGTCGTCGATTTAAATTTAGATGATGGTGCTTTCTGAAAAAAGTGACAGAAACGAATGTGTCGACAATCTTTGGAAGTCAGCTACAAAAACAGCTATCTTTAAAACATATATGCAATAAAATTATCATGAGAAACCCAGTAAACAAAAAGAAGGAATGACGTAGGTTCATAAAAAGACATAGTTCCTGAATGGCCATGTTTAGTCAGAATGGCAACCGGAAGAACTAACTATATTACTGACGGCTATCGGAATTATTTAATTATATCGTTGCAGGCTCATTTACTGCTATGGGAATGACATTCTATGAAAGGGAGATTGAAACACGTTACGGGGTCACATACATCGAGTCTTCATCGTTCGCTATGGCAATTCTATCTTGTGTTTTAATATATAGCACAGGGGTTTTAATCTGTGCAGAGAGTTGTAGGGAGAAAAAGACATGTGCTCGGATAAGACAAATAGCCGGAATGTATTCTACATGAATATTAAATATGTATTCACAATAACACTACTGCAGTGCAACCCGCGTGACTTAAATAAACTGAATGGCAGAAGTGTCTTAAATTGACCCTGATTCCGGTAAAATTTCCTCAACTAAACAGATATTTTCAAAAACTTATTTGAATCGGGGCTATTATTAGAATTTTCCTCCATTTACACCAGATTGGTATGACCAAACATTATATTTACTTTATATTATTCTGAAATTATATTTTTAAAAAGGAAAATATTTGATTAAAAAGTTTAGTTCTCATGGACTAGAAATACAAATGGTAAAGGCTTATATCTGTCGTCATGTGTTAACCTTTTTGGTTAAGTTTCTTTTATGTTTAATAGCTTCAATACTAAGCTTAAGAAAGCTAGCTATTATATTGAAATTTTGATGGATTTTGCCTGCGACGCTCATTTTCAGGTCAAAAGGTCAATGCCATAGGGACCTGTATTAGCAAAACACAAAAATGGCCACACTGACTTAGAAAATTCAAACTTTATATGTCGAAGCGCCTTGACGAGTTTACCCTGCCATACCCATTTTCAGGTCGAACGTCAAGGTCACCAGGAAGTCTTATATGTGGCTTCCAATCCCGAATTCGACCGCCGCAAAATTGTTGACTGCATTCACCAGTGCAGCCCTAGTCCCGATTTTCATCTGCTTCATTAATTGTTTGTTAAAATATTATATAATGTTCAATATTTATTGAACATTTTAATTATTGTTAATTACTATATATAGTGAGGAAATTGTTGATAATATGGGTATGATTAAAGTTTAATTTCAAACATTATACGCAAGAGTTGTGCGACATTTCTGCAATTGTATGTTTCCATATGGGAAATATTTGTATATTTCCATAACTGCATTTTTTGTGTTGGATTATTTCATATTTACTTTATAGGCATTTTAATATAATCTAGAGTGATTTATTTTTTGTTTTTACAATGATTTTTACAACCGGAACAAATAAATGTAAACTTGATTATATTTAGTTTGTTTACTTTACTTGATTTGAATTTTTTCTCCAATTTAGTAACACTCTTATTTATTTGAAACACTATCTCTCACAGACACGTTCTACCTCTTGACAGACACATTTCCCATCGGGTCTTTTAGCAGACTCATCCTAGCCTTGAACAAACATATCCTGCGTTTTAACAGACAGATCCTGCCCTTGAACAGACACAATATCATGCTTTTCTAAAGGCACACTTCCTTTTCAGACACATATATCTCGGCAGATACATCCTTCCTTTAGTCCGATTTGATGAAAATTGGCATAAATGTGTGTATACGAATAAGTAAATATGCAGTTCATCCAATGTCATCAAAGTTCGGCATGGGTTACGGCCCCTTGTTATAAAAGAATGCATGTATAATGATAACATATAGTCTCTATCTTTATAATAAGAAAAACGGTTCACATTAAATTTCATTCAAATGTATTAAGTGATAGCCGTTAGTACTTAAAATATCCATTTTCACAAAAATTCTACCGAATTGACACGAATGTATGTATACATGTATATTGATGAGAGCAAAATGAATCTTAAATACTACCGTGATCTACAGCTGTGTAGCTGAGATATGATCCTTAGAGTGTTTTTGTTTGTTTGTCCAGAACCTTATCAGCCAAATAAGATCCGCAATTTGTACTTATATAGTTGCTGCTCGCCATTAACGAACGGAAGATATCCATAATATCTGGCTGCAGGCCTGAAGGACCATTGGTTCCATGTTGAAATACAGCGCTTAAATACCGCTGCTAATTTTCGAGTTTTGACTTGCACGGTTTCTACACCGTTTACGGTCTGCACCCCGTTAAATCGAAAAAATGAGACAGCAGTTCAAGACGACAGTAACAGTTGTGATATATATAACAAACGCACACAAAATTTATATCTCTTTCCTATATATGTCAGCTGAGGTAAAATATATCAAGTTTTGAGTTTCCAAAATCTAACATCCTGCTAATAATTGCTGTCCTTACGCCATTACGGACATCCTCGAGCTTAAAATTATTGCATAATGGCGAGCAGCAATCGAGTAATATTTAAGACCAAGAATCTTATGATTTCATGAAGACATTTTGTAGACCTTTAGTTAAATACACATGTATATCTTACAAGTTGCAATGTCAAAAATATCAGGTGGCGGGGTTAGATTTTACGTAGCACCATAATTGCAAAGGTCATAATTATGTAATAAGTGGAGGAAGACCCCAGGTGTCCCTCGATGCATTATTTCAGGCTCGAACGAACACAGGAGTAGCACCACCGACGTTCCGTAAGCTGGATGGATAACTTCTTTACATGAAAGAATCCAAAGTCCCTGGCGGGATTCGAACCCACAGTGGTGAAGGGCAAGTGTTTTGAAATCGGTCAGCCTCGGTAGCCCCACAGTAAAATAAAATCATAGTTACTGTATAAATCATGGATTGGTTGGACTCAATGAATTTGAGCATGCATCGCTTCACTTGAATCCATTAATTGTAATTCTTAGTAATAATTGCATGATATTATACAGTGTTATGATACTATTTAGTATCATTTTATCGAAAACTTTGACACCCGCGACTAAGTTCTGTGGGCGTTATAAGTAAAGATGAAAGTTTGGTGTTTTACTATGGCAGAGACTATTTCAGTATACCAACATATGTATGTGTAGTTTTTATAACATATTTTGTGAACTTGTGATTAGTAATGCACGTATAGGTAGATCGCAGACAAAGTCCTGCGACATTTTTTGTCAACTGCTCGAGATAATATACGGTAGGGTCCAAATTTAATACCCGTTCATATGGTTACAGAAAAGTATATACATTTTGTATATAAAGCCTTTATATTTATATATTCTAAGGTCTTGGCAATTCACTTATAATTTTATTGACGTAAAGCGAACTTACATCCGCTTTGGAGAAGTTTAAGAATACATTTGTATACAGTGTACATATAATTGTCATTTAAAATATTTTTTTTTTCGTGCCCGTTGAACATTATTTATCCCAATCACTGAATGTGGAGTTTGTAATAAAAATTCACACGAATAATTTACCTAATTCGATAGTTTTCCCAAGTAATTACAGATAAGATGTCCTTTTCTTATATTTTCAGCATTTTCGCACTTTCTAGTACTGATCATGTATGGAACTGAGGTCGAAAAGATTCCTGACTCACAGATCAAAGCATCGTACGGAATAGTGATTATTTGTCTTATAATAGAAGTGTTCCTTCCATGTTTTGTTTACGTCGATAAAAACTTGAGGTATCCTTCTGGCAACACATTTTTAATTCCAAAAAGATTCATCAACACACATGCATCCAACAATTTAACAGCGAGGCAAAAACATGAGGATCCGAGTCCGCTATTTACAATTGATAGAGCCTCGGTTTCGCTCAGAACATCGACTACGTCATTAACGGAAGCGGAAACATTTAAAAGATTTGCGTCAGATGAAGTTCCCGACCCATCACTGGTTTCATTGGGAAGTATTAACTCTATAAATACACGATCTACATTTATCACCGGCACCTCACAATCTGCGGATAGGTCCTCCATAGAAAGTGGAGTATAAGAGGCCAATAAGTGCTTTGTACAAAATCTCGTCTGCTTTTGTCTTATTTTTTATTTTTTACTATTTCTTGAATGTATCAAACTTTTGTGATTGTCTGATGTTTTCGTCCGTCGTTAACCACATACATGCACGTAATGCAAAAGAACTGGGTATATTTTAACAAAACTTAAGAAAAACAATCCAGTGTGATACATAAATAGGTCATAGTAGTTTAACATAATTTATTATCTTTAAATGAAATCTACAAATAAAGAACTTGTCAGCGACTACAAAATACTTAACTAAGAGATTTTGTTTGTTTTATTGCCTAGTGATTTTCCCTTCAAATGTTATGCAAATTATGTCCTTGTTTTTTTAAATGAGCCAATCCCTTAATTACATGTCTCCCTAAATAGTTTTGGATATGTAGCATTGAATAGGCATTTTTGTTAAAGTAATATACATTTATATATGATCTGCTCAACCATGTTGGTCACTTGGTACATGCACATGTATATATACACGTATATTCTCGCTGTATCTCTCTAAAACTTGAAATATAGCATTTTAAGCGAACATTTAAAAACAAGTCTAGATTCTAATAAGTAATTATGTCCTAGGTAAAAAGAGTATCCCAGTGGTCACTTTTAGTATATAACTTATAATATAGAATTCTTCTTCCTTTGTTACAGGCAGCTGTTAGAAAAAAGGTTAATAAAAAATTGCCTCTTGGGATATTTGATGACCACAACTTTCAAACTTTTTACTTACTTTATAATTATCTGCTCAAATGAGTAATACACATATATTATGTGCTTCTTTTAGGTTATTCAATAGTAATATAAATACGCTTTTAACAACACCGTTTGCCTCATATATACATATAAGGAAAACAAATTCAACAATTATGTTAAGTTTCCGAATTTACATGTATATTTGTTCGTGTTCTTTAGGATATGCAAGTTTACAACCCGTTTGCCTTAGAAATGATTTTTTTTTATATGTACTTTTCCAGTTTCCAAAAATGTAACTCATAGTCCATTTACATGAACTTTTTCTTTTTCTTCTGTTGCTTTTTAGCATTTAAGACAGTTATATAGTAATTTAGTATTTTGTATTTTTACGTTTTAAAACTCATATGTGCTATTTCAAGAGGAGTAAAAAAAATTCGTTTCTGAAGCATAATGTGCCTACTGTTCTAAAGAGATTTTGGCACGATATATGGCAAAGTTATAAACGCTTGTACGCTTATATCAAGCAAACCACCGTTTTTTCTCGGCCATAATACATCAGTAGTCTTTATACTGCATAGCGTCTCTCTTTTAGCAGCCATATTTATAGATGATAAAGATTCGTATTTTTGATTTTATAAATGAAGTGAGACATTGTATATCAAGTTTTTCTGCTTGTTTTTTTATCAAGCAAAGGAGCAAATTTATATATTTAGTGTGTGTTAAATTAATACATGACATAATAATAGTTTGTTAATGAAACTGGAAGCTAAAACTTGAGATTTGTTTTTGTGGGTTTTTTTTGTTTGTTTGTTTTTTATTTGGTTGTTTTTTTTATTGTGTATTTGTTGTGCCATAGTTTTGTTCCCGTGTATTACGCATTTCAAATTGGAATAGGTGCACGTGTATTCGTTTATTATATACTTATAAATGAATATTTTGAAATGTTGATGAAATAAAATGCGTATTACTATTATAATTTTCCCTATTTTCAATGTAAAATTTTATTTTTCACTGCAGTGATACATATTTTCCATATTTTCACTCTAGTATCTTGCCGGACTACTTTTTTATGCCCCCGCCATGTAATGGCCGGGGCATATAGTGTTACCCTGTTCCGTCCTTCCGTCATTCTGTCATTCCATCATCATCAGTTTCCGTTCATTATCTTAAGAACGATTGCACACATTCAACTCAAATTTGACATATGGATATGTCATGACAAAATACAGGTCAAGTTCGAATTTGGTCATGGTTCAATGATTTTTGGCAGGAGTTATGCCCCTTTTACTTTTGAAAATAATATGAAATTTCAGTTTCCGTTCATTATCTCCCCCAACAGTAACAACACATTCAACTCAAACTTGACATATGGATATGTCATGACAAATACAGGTCAAGTTCGAATTTGGTCATGGTTCGATGATTTTTTGGCAGAGTTATGCCCCTTTTACTTTGAAAATAATATGAATTTTTCAAGTTTCCGTTCATTATCTCCCCAACGGTACAACACATTCAACTCAAACTTGAAATATGGATATGTCATGAGAAAATACAGGTCAAGTTCGAATTTGGTCATGGTTCAATGATTTTTGGCAGAGTTATGCCCCTTTTTACTTTGAAAATAATATGAAATTTCAGTTTCCGTTCATTATCTCCCCAACAGTACAACACATTCAACTCAAACTTGAAGATATGATATGTCATGACAAAATACAGGTCAAGTTCGAATTTGGTCATGGTTCGATGATTTTTGGCAGAGTTATGCCCCTTTTACTTTGAAAATAATAAGAATTTTTCAGTTTCCGTTCATTATCTCCCAAACGGTACAACACATTCAACTCAAACTTGAAATATGGATATGTCATGAGAAAATACAGGTCAAGTTCGAATTTGGTCATGGTTCAATGATTTTTGGCAGATTTATGCCCCTTTTACTTTGAAAATAATATGAAATTTCAGTTTCCGTTCATTATCTCCCCTACAGTACAACACATTCAACTCAAACTTGACATATGGATATGTCATGACAAAATACAGGTCAAGTTCGAATTTGGTCATGGTTCGATGATTTTTGGCAGAGTTATGCCCCTTTTACTTTGAAAATAATATGAATTTTTCAGTTTCCGTTCATTATCTCCCCAACGGTACAACACATTCAACTCAAACTTGAAATATGGATATGTCATGAGAAAATACAGGTCAAGTTGGAATTTGGTTATGGTTCAATGATTTTTAGCAGAGTTATGCCCCTTTTACTTTGAAAATAATATGAAATTTTCAGTTTCCGTTCATTATCTCCCCATCGGTACAACACCTTCAACTAAAACTTGACATATGGATGCGTCAAAAGAATGCGCAGGTCAAGTTCAAATTTGGTCATGATTCAATGATTTTTGGCAGAGTTATGCTCCTTTCACTTTGAAAGTAATATGAAATTTTCAGTTTCCTTTTATTATTTCCCCAACAGTACAACACATACAACTCAAATTTGACATATGGATATGTTTTTGGAATGCCCAGGCCAAGTTTGAATTTGGTCATGGTTCAATGATTTTTGGCAGAGTAATGCCCCTTTCACTTTGAAAATAATATGAAATTTACAGTTTCTGTTCATTATCTACCCAACAGTGTTACATATTCTACTTAAATTTGACATATGGATATGTCAAAGGAATGGACAGGTCAAGTTGGAATTTGGTCATGGTTTGATGATTTTTTTGCAGAGTTATGTCCCTTTCACTTTGAAAATAATATAGATACATCTTATGAATAAGCAGTTTAAGTTTGAATTTGGTTGTGGTTCAATGATTTTAGACAAACTTATCTTTCCTGAATGTTGGAAAAATTTTGAACTTTCAGTTTCAGCACTCATACTTTTAGCCATTATTTTGGCTACAAATATGCAATATGCTATTTTTAAAAGGTTAAGACTGAATAATTTCAGTGCCTTGAACATTGTATGAAAATGGTTTGTGTTAACATTGAAAAGTTTTAAGGGCTTTGAACTTAAAATGAAAACAAGATTGCATTTGAGAAAAATGCTATGCCACCGCATGGTTCAAATTTCATAGCTGTACACCAAAGGACAAGAAAGTAGGTCACATCATTAAAATCTAGGTCACCTGATATCAAAGTTCAATTTTACAACTAAAATTGTGCACATGGTCAAAATGTCATTGCTGTACATCAAAGGACAAGAAAGTAGGTCACTGTCCCCTTGGGCAAGGTATAATTTTGACCCAAGGGTTTAATTCAAAACAATTTTGATACAGGTCCACCAAACAACATTTCAAGTCAAATATCTAAGCTATAGCTTTCTCCCATTCAGAAAACATTTGTTTTATTTTCTGTTTTTACTATGTGTACATAATGAGAATCACTGCCCCCGGGCAGGGCCAATTTTGACACCAGGGGAAAATTTTGAACAACTTTGGTAGACGACCTATAAATGATATTATATATCAAACATCAAAGCTCTATGCCTTGTACCTTCAGACAAAAATATTTTTTTATTTTTTCACTATAATGTACATAATGAAAATCAATGACCCCCGGGGCGGAACCAATTTTGACCCCAGGGCTATAATTTGAACAATCTTGCCAGAGGTTCACTACACAATGTTTTCATGCAAAATATCTTAACTCTAGCCTTTGTAAATTTAGAGAAGATGATTTTTTAAGTTTTTACTATATACATATAAGGAAAACTATGGCCACCAGGGGGCGGGGCTAATTTTGACACAAAGAGGCAAAAACTTTGAATAACTTTTGTAGAGTACCTTCAGATGATATAATTTAACAAATATTAAAGCTCTAAGCCTTGCACCTTCAGACAATAAGATTTATTTATTTTTTACTATATTGTATATATTGAAATCAATGACCCCAAGGGCGGGGGCAATTTTTGACCCCAGGGCAATAATTTGAACAATCTTGCTAGAGGTTTACTACACAATGTTTTCATGCAAAATATCTAACCTCTAGCATTTGTCAATTGCTAGAAGAATTTTTTTTTGAAGTTTTTACTATAATATTTTACTATATACATATAAGGAAAACCAATGACCCCCCGGGGCGGGGCCAATTTTGACCCCAGGGCTATAATTTGAACAATCTGGGTAGAGGTCTACCAGACAATGCCTTATGCAAAATATATAAGCTCTAGGCCTTTTGGGTCTTTACAAGAAGGTGTTTTAAGTTTTTACTATATGTACATATAGTGAAAATCAATGACCCCGAGGCGGGGCCGATTTTGACCCAAGGGCTATAATTTGAACAATCATGGTAAAGGTCTACCAGAAGATGCCTTATGCAAAATATCTAAGCTCTAGGCCTTTTGGGTTTTTACAAGAAGGTATTTTTAAGTTTTTTACTATATGTACATAGTGAAAATCAATGACCCTCGGGGCGGGGCCAATTTTGACCCCAGGGCTATAATTTGAACAATCTTGTTAGAGGTCTACCAGACAATGCCTTATGCAAAATATCTAAGCTCTAGGCCTTTTGGGTCTTTACAAGAAGATTTTTTAAATTTATTCTTATAATTCCTTTTGGTTGCCATGGCAACCAGATTTCTGCATGGAATGAAATTCTTTGAACAACTTTGGAAGCCCTTCACCCAAGGAACAATCCTGCCAAGTTTGGTTGAAATTGGACTAGTGGTTTTTCACAAGAAGATTTTTTAAGTTCACTATATAATCTATATAACACACACACAAACACACACACAAACACACACACACACACACACACAGGTGAATCGCTATATGCCACCGCATCGCAGATGCTGCGGTGGCATAAAAATAATTAATGCACCATCTGAAATTTTGGCTGCATGCGGGGGCATCCGTGGCATGATGACACATTTCTAGTTCTAAATTCAATTAAAGGGGGAAGTCTTTTGATTTGTAAGGAAGTAGATAATAAACAGTAATTTCAATGTTTTTTTCTATAAATACGGGATTTATTTCATCTCATGGTATGAAAATTATCATATTTAACACTCGTAAGAGGGGTTGGCAGTATCCAGAGATAGATATATCACTTGTGGCTATATACCACCACTCATGAAATACATGTAGTTATTTTCATAACACTCGATAAAAATTGACACCTTATTTATAAAATAAACTCGAATATCATCTATATTTTATTTTGTAGTCGTGTAAAATCAGAAATATAATTTTATGATTTATTCTGTACATTGTTTGTTTGTTTGTTTGTTCATTCATTCGTGCTTTTTTTTGTTTACGTAGAATTCTGGTTTTATAAAAAACAATCATGCCTATTTTACAAGAATCTATTTTTTCTCATTTAGACTCAGTTTTATTTATTTTGAGATTACTTCATCAATTAAAGCAATTTGATATGGAACATTTGTTTCGTTTTTATTTTCTACCAATCTTGTTGTCTTTGATTAGTTAACTTGTAGCCTGAATGTATCATACCATTTAATGCAGCATACAATTGTAGCATACCATTTAATGCAGCATATAATTGTAGCATACATTTAATGCAGCATACAATTGTAGCAAACCATTAAATGCAGCATATTATTGTAGCATACCATTTAATGCAGCATACAATTGTAGCATACCATTTAATGCAGCATATAATTGTAGCATACCATTTAATGCAGCATACAATTGCAGCATACATTAAATGCAGCATATTATTGTAGCAAACCATTAAATGCAGCATATTATTGTAGCATACCATTTAATGCAGCATATTATTGTAGCATACCATTTAATGCAGCATATAATTGTAGCATACCATTTAATGCAGCATACAATTGTAGCATATATTTAATGTGGCATATACATGTACAATAAATGTGGCATGCATCCTTTGAAGTATACAACACAAAGTGGCATACATCAATGCAGCACATATGCAGCAATCATCTATTATACTTTACATTTAATATAGCATGTGTAAGAAACACCTCCAATAAACATGTAG